AGTGTTGAAGAGGGCACAGCGATGAGAGTCATGCTCAAATCAACGGGCAAGGAAGGGGTCCCATTTCTCGGGTTCTGGGCCGTTTCTCATGGTTCTTCCTTCTTTCGTGTACCACTCACCATCCCTAGGTTAATTTGAAATGGGTTGCTTTTCATCGTGAATTCGTCCTTTAATGAAGTGGTTTGGATCCTTTTTACGAGTGATAACCTTCGCATGATTTTTGCATACACCAATGGCGGTAACTGGTGGGATTAACCGTAGTAAAGCCACAGAAGCGCGACTAATCCACCAATTCTCTCATGGTAGTCGAATTCACAGGGTCGATGATCTTTTGCGGATGCGATGAATCCGTTATGGAATCAAAGGTCGGCGCAAGAGGTATAAAAGAGCTGACCAACTGTAAACTTTCCCATTTTGTTCTGGATCCTCTGGAATTGGTGGTTCGTTTAGGCTGCCTTACACCCACCTGTCGTTGGCTACCTGTGGGCAAGACTCTATGAGAGCATCTCGTCCAATTCTTCTTACGATAGTCAAAAAATTTCCATCTCAGCCATTCCTTGTTTGAAAATGGATCGCTTTTCCTTGCATTTTTAATATGTGGTTCGATTGTTCACCTGCACAAAAATATGAATCATATCCTCATTTGAAAATTGCTGTTAATTCGTTGTAATCAGTAAAACTTTCAGAATGATTACCGCCATCACATTTCTTGCCATCGCCGGCACAGTACTTTGTGCCCCACCCGAAATGGGTGGTGACTTCAACATCCAAGTGGAGCCTCCCAGTGTGAGAACTGCAGGGAAAGACAGAGGACCACCTCAGATGGGCGAATTCAACATCCAAGGAGGACCTGGAAGTGGTCCTGGTCACGAAGCATTCGGACATCACGGACCGCCCCCACCACCGTACCTTGGAAATGTCAGTGACGAAGCTCGACAGGAGTACTTCACTATTGTTTCGAACACAAACAACACGATCGCCCAGCAAAAACAAAATGTACTCGCATGGGCTCAAAAGAATGGAGTTGAGGTATCAGTTTTTATTATATTAAATCTACCAGGTATTTTTGCGGAGCACATGGTGTACTTACAAGTGCCAACGCTTATTAGGCTCACGGTCGGGTACTGAATCTGAGATCGAACCCCGTCCAGGCTATCCAATCCGATTTCAAGAGCTGACATTAGACTAGGAGGATAAAATTCCTGAAACACGCACAGCCAGACTACCACAACTGATTGTGAGCGAGTAGCACCTGAAGGAGCATTGGCATGGCACATTTCATTCAAACTCAAAGTGGCTTATCTCCAACTTTTACAAGCTAGGATATACATAATCATAAAAAAGTGGTATGGTATGCTGCGTTTCTAACTTGGGTGAGAGTATTGTATTTAGTGTCGATTTTCACTCTTAATTGTTAAAACATCCTCTTGAAAGGATAAAATAGCTGACTTAGGTGTTCATCGACTCGCCTTCTGGATGCTGTGAAGGTCAAAATGTATATTCGCATGCCGTTGTGACTGCGAACGGAGGTAGAACATTGGTTCTTCCCCCCAAAAAGTGTTTGATTAACGCAGTAACGTCCTAGCGTGATATTGGACGCAGGCAAAGGGCTCACTGATAGACTACCCTACCCCAAGAGTAAACTCCTGATTGGATTTGCTAGCCACGAATGGCTTTGTGTTGGACCAAATATTTCTATGACGCATTCGACATGTGAGGAGTTCAGACGAGTTACTCTCAGGTGCAGCCTATAGCTTTTCTCCTGTTACAGGCTCAAGTGCAGGAGTTCAACACCAACATGACCTAACTTGATGACTCAAATGAAGCAGAACGTAACATTACTGATCAACTCATTGCCGTCAGCATTACAACAGCTTCTTTCTGTTGCGGGTAATGAAACCCTAAGCCGTGAGCAGCAGAAAAACGCCATGAGAACGCTGGTGTCTCAAAATCCACAGGTTTGATTCCCTTTGCCCTACCTTTCGAGTTGCCGTGAAAATATGGGCTTCAAGACGCACATCATTTTGATTTAGGTCTACCACATCATAAAGCTCGCAACGGCACACCTCCATCCTAGAGAACTCGGTCTTCCACACGGTCCTCAAAATTTCGCAACAGCCGTCATGGATGCACCAGAAGAAGGAAATGATTTTGGTACGTTTTG